CTCTTCCTCACAGGTTAGTTAATGACAGACAGTCAGTGAGTGTGTGTGTGTCCAACTCTTCCTCACAGGTTAGTTAATGACAGTCAGTCAGTGAGTGTGTGTGTGTCCAACTCTTCCTCACAGGTTAGTTAATGACAGACAGTCAGTGAGTGTGTCTGTGTCCAACTCTTCCTCACAGGTTAGTTAATGACAGACAGTCAGTGAGTGTGTCTGTGTCCAACTCTTCCTCACAGGTTAGTTAATGACAGACAGTCAGTGAGTGTGTCTGTGTCCAACTCTTCCTCACAGGTTAGTTAATGACAGACAGTCAGTGAGTGTGTCTGTGTCCAACTCTTCCTCACAGGTTAGTTAATGACAGACAGTCAGTGAGTGTGTGTGTGTCCAACTCTTCCTCACAGGTTAGTTAATGACAGACAGTCAGTGAGTGTGTGTGTGTCCAACTCTTCCTCACAGGTTAGTTAATGACAGACAGTCAGTGAGTGTGTCTGTGTCCAACTCTTCCTCACAGGTTAGTTAATGACAGACAGTCAGTGAGTGTGTCTGTGTCCAACTCTTCCTCACAGGTTAGTTAATGACAGACAGTCAGTGAGTGTGTGTGTGTCCAACTCTTCCTCACAGGTTAGTTAATGACAGACAGTCAGTGAGTGTGTGTGTGTCCAACTCTTCCTCACAGGTTAGTTAATGACAGACAGTCAGTGAGTGTGTCTGTGTCCAACTCTTCCTCACAGGTTAGTTAATGACAGACAGTCAGTGAGTGTGTCTGTGTCCAACTCTTCCTCACAGGTTAGTTAATGACAGACAGTCAGTGAGTGTGTCTGTGTCCAACTCTTCCTCACAGGTTAGTTAATGATGTTACTGAGTCAATGTGAGCAGATTGTGTCTGTAGATTGAAGAGAATCAGAGTCTCACTGATGGTGGAAATAAAGGTTGTACTTCCTTAAAACAGCCGTTTTTTGAATGGAGTTTGGTGTGACAGTGTGGAGCAGAGGGGATTTGAACCTTAATAATTCCCATAAACTGAGCTGACCGACCTTCTAATAATGAACCTTGGAAACAGCAGAGAGCAACAGGAAGTGGAGATAAACCCTCCTGTTTTCTTCTTCTGTGGTCTCGTAGTAAAAGGTAGATTAATAAACACAAACCCTGGAATTAGTTTACAGTAACGTCACATTGGACACAAACAGTTAATAAAGAGTGTGAAGCACAGAAACAGTGACAGACAGCAGAAATATGAGATTGAATAAGGTCGCTGTATATGTCAGGACACTCATCAATAACTATTTGTGTATTTTATATAGAACAACAACACAACAGCATTGTTTGCTGGATATAGGATTTATGCTCCTAATAGATACAAACAATACAGTAATGTTATTTTACGAGCTCAGAATTTACATTTACCACCAGTCAAATTAGAGGCAGTGCTTTCACTTAAAAGGGGGCGGGGCTTGACGCAATGGGACCTTCACCTGTTGAATCATAGAGTTACTACTTTAAATGTCCTACAGTGAGTTATTGTACATAAACAATCAGAGAGAAGATTGGATATTTTTATATAGTTATTGTTAATGTCTGCCACCGGGTCGGATTCCCCTTGAAATCAATGAAACCAGGCAGTAGAAACACTACCACTGTTGTCCACAGGGGGCGCCAGAATCAACTCAGACAGTTCCTGGAGTGTGACGAGTGTGCCGTCCCCATGGAGCAGAGCAACAGGCCGTACAGGCGGCAACTAACAGTTGATGTGATTGAGCAACTGTAATTAGTGAGAATCAATATTAGATTGTGGAAGCTGCAGATATTTCACTGCTGATAACGCTTTATGGACGCTGTCACTACAGACACAGTTTACACTCATTATGTTATTAAAGGAAATCATCAATCTGAGACACATGGCCTCCATCATCACACCTAGATACAATAAGAGAAATCTGCTCCCGCTCTGCCACATGGGGGCGCTGTAATCAAAGTTTTGATGCCTCCTGAATCCATCATTCTCACAGCTTTAGATCCATTTTCATGATGCTGTCAGAGTGGAGAAATGATTTCTGTACATTTGAGCTTTATTTACAGTTGTTCTCCTCAATATTCATCATTCTCTAAACAGAGTGTGAAATGATCGAATCCATAACTCATCTGCTCACAACACTTTATGGATTCAAACACATGAGAACAGTTCAGCTGACTCATTCACTCATTCACTCATTCATACAGTGATTCAGCATCAGGAGCAGTTTGGGGTTCAGTATTTTGCTCAAGGACACTTTGACATGCAGCGGGAGGAGCCGGGGATCGAACCAGCAACCTTCTGATCAGTGGACGACCCGCTCTACCTCCTGAGACACAGCCAGATATATATGTATAGAAGCTGAATACACAAACATCAGAGAAACATTATAGAGCTACATGAGACCAATCAATCAATCAATCAATCAATCAATCAATCAATCAATCAATCAGTCAATCAATCAATCAGTCAATCAATCAATCACAGTATGGACTGCAGGTTCATTCAGACGATGAAGAGAGGAAACACTGAAAGCTGAACGTTGACATTCTCTTCCTTTGAGCCCCTTCAACAAGATCAATAATCAAAGATTGATCAACAGACCAATCAAACAGATTGATCAGCCATCAGAGGAGTTGGATCAATGGAGCTGCTTCTGTTCCTGGTTCTCTCTGCAGAGGAGACAGAGGACAGTCAGACACAGACAGACACAGAGACATCTGACCTCTGACCTGTATCTACAGCACTGACCTCTGATCTGTATCTAAAGTACTGACCTCTGACCTGTATCTACAGTACTGACCTTTGACCTGTATCTACAGCACTGACCTTTGACCTGTATCTACAGTACTGACCTTTGACCTGTATCTACAGCACTGACCTCTGATCTGTATCTACAGTACTGACCTCTGACCTGTATCTACAGTACTGACCTTTGACCTGTATCTACAGCACTGACCTTTGACCTGTATCTACAGTACTGACCTCTGACTGTGAGCTCCACTGTTTTCCCTCTCAGTAAGTATCTGATGTTTCCCCTCCTTGTTGTAGATTCTGCAGCCGTATCTTCCTGTGTCTCTCTCTTTGGGGCATTTCAGGGTCAGACTGAGGTCTCCAGTTTTCAGCAGGTCTTCGTTCATCTCAGTTCGGTCTCTGTAATCCTGGTTCTGTTGTCCAGGCTGGTCAGAACTGTTCTGATACACATGGACTGTTATTGTGGGTTCAGGTTCAATGCGTCTCCACTCCACTTCAGCGTCCTCAGGCAGGTCAGCTGTGGTCTTGAAGGGCAGTTGGACAGACTTCGCCCCCTCCTCCACCTCCACCTTATGCTCTGAGAGAACAACAAACCCGTTATGCTACAAGCTAACGTTACAGAGAGCTAGCTTTATGCTACGAGCCACAGAGCTAATGGAATACTACAAGCTAATGCTATGCTACGAGCGGACATTGTCCAAGTGTATTGGTGCAAATTGTTAATAACAATATAGCTACTAGCTTAATAACAATATAGCTACTACGAACCAGAAAGCTAACAATGATACAATATTTAAAGCACTGACCTTTGACCTGTATCTACAGCACTGACCTTTGACCTGTATCTACAGCACTGACCTTTGACCTGTGTCTACAGCACTGACCTTTGAACTCAAGCTCCACTCGTTTCTCCATCAGGATCTTTCTCTCCCTGCTGTAGACGGTGCAGGTGAAGGTGTCTCTGTCTGTGGGGTATTTCAGGGTCAGACTGAGGTCTCCAGGTTCCAGCAGGTTTCTCTTCATCTCTGTTCGGTCTCTGTAATACTGGTTCTGTTCTTCAGGCTGATCAGAGCCGTTCTGATACACATGGACCTTCCAGTTGTAACTGTCTGTCCACTCCACTCTGACGTCCTCAGGCAGGTGAACTGTGGTTTTGCAGGGCAGCAGGACAGACTCCACCCTTGAACCCACCTCCACCTGGTAGACTGAGAGGACAACAAACCACAACATCAGCTGCACTGCAGAAAATCTATTTCTAAGTCAGTCAGATAATCTGATATTTAGATTTAAAATCTAGTGGGACTTGTTTTGAGTGTGAACTGATGATCTAGTGCTCACTATGGAAGGCTGTTTGACTGAATTTAAGTAAATGTCACTTGTCTTAATGAGCATGATCTTATTTGGAGTTATTTTTAGCTACAGGGACACATTAGCTACAGGACCTCCAGTATGCTTTGACACTTTAAGATCTGAACTTTCAACACAAAAACATCTTATTTCAACTTTTAGTCTTTTGGCTTCTCTGATATTATATTTTACACTTTATCTTCAAACTAAATATTTCATTTTGTTCACGTTGCTTCATTATTTTTCAACCCGTCTCTGGTGACCAGTGTGAAGCAGGTAAGGAGAGAGAGGCAGGTGAGGCTGTAGGTGAGTCGTGTGAGACAGGTAAACTAGCAGGTGAGCTGAGTGAGGGGAGCACAGTAGCTGAGGCTCAAGAGATGGAGGCCTGTGAGTCTGGGTGGGGGTCTGCTCCTCTTAAACAGCGCAGTAAGAGGAGAAGCATGTTGACCGTGGAGGTGGGTGGTAAAGCCGGACGTCTGGCCGGTAAACCGAGTGCTGCAGAGAACAGAGCAGCTCTATCTGACAGCAGTGACAGTGAAGGGTGTGTGTCTGACAGCAGTGACCTGTCTCACACTCAGCAGGCTGCTGCTCAGGTGTATACTGCCAATGTACTGAAGTCTTTTTTACAACATACCAAAGGGATGAGGTAATTAATGTTAGAACAGTTCTTCCCTGATATGCAGCTGTTGTAAATTCCCCATTATTACTGTGTTTTATTGTGCAGGAACTGGTCAGTGCTGAATTCAGTGTTTTTACATCAGGCACCTCGTTGGGCAGCTAAGGGGTCCTTGGGAACGTGACGTTGAGCTGTTCGCGGCCTTCTGGTTCATTACATTGATACCTGTCTGCGTTTGTGATAATAAAGTTCTTTGATATGCAAATGAAGCGTTGAATTTCGGCTCTATAAGCTAACGTTACTTGTGTAGCAGTGTTTATTTGATGTTTAATGTGCTAACTGACTGGCAGCTGTTGACTAAGTTGAGGCGAAGTTAATATGTGCTCATTAAGCTAGCGCACCTTCTCATGTATATTGTGTTTGTCCATTGCAGATACCATACAGAAGAGAGTCAATCAGACCAATGTAAAGCCTCAAACAGTGCAGACAATAGAGTCAGACTGTAAGCAGTAAACCAGAAACACCGAGCTGTATGTAATTGGAGTCGTGCTTCTTCATTAAAGCCACGTTAACTGTTCTACTGTGTCCGGCCTCGCTCTCTAGTCGGAGTGTCTGTGTGGATGAGGTGTTCCAGCGAATCCACCTAAAACAACATACAGTCCTTCTCTCCGCAACAGCAGGGTTTCTATAATTCAGCCAGGTATATTGTAAAACACAGAGCAGAGTCAGACCTGGCAGACCAAGAAGTATTCAGACTGAAAAAACTGATGATTAAAGTCAGGAAACAACTCGTTCTTTAATGATGGTGAATGTACAGATTTTACTTTTATTTATTTCATTGATTGTTTTTAGTCTTGTTCTTAACATCTTTATCATTATGAATGTTTTTAAAGTAGGCAGTCTGAATGTCAATGGTGCCAGAGAAACAAGAAAGAGAGCAGTAGTGTTTGAAATGGCTAAAATGAAACATATTGATGTTTCTACAAGAAACTCACAGTGATGTTGGAAACGAGGCAGACTGGAGCAGAGAATGGGAAGGAGAACTGATTTTAAGCCATAACACCACCCTCAGTGGAGGAGTGGGCTTCCTGTTCTCCAGAGGTTTTACTCCAACCTCTCTGGAGGTCAGGCATGTTGTGGAGGGGAGGTGTCTTTCAGTCAGAGCTCGTTTTGAACATTTTAATGTGGTTTTTATCAACATTTATGCTCCAAACAACGGTGCAGAGAGGAAACACTTTGGAAAGATGAATGATATTTTAAACAGCTGTGGCCCGGAGGATTATTTATTCGTGGGTGGGGATTTTAATTGTACTGAAAATGAGATTTTTAGATCGCAACCATGCAGAGCCTCATCCAGTATCCCAGCATGCCTTGAGGCAGCTGGTCTCCTCCCATGGCCTGGTGGACGTGTGGAGAAGGATGCACACAGGCTGCAGACAGTACACATGGTCCCACGTTAGAGAAAACAGAATGTCTTTGGCCAGACTTGATCGTTTTTATGTTTTTAAGCACAAAGTCAGTGTTATAAAAATGTGTAAGATTTTACCAGTTGGTTTTACCGATCATTCTTTGGTTTTGTGTAACGTTTTTATCAGAAACATTTTATCCAAAAGCGCCTATTGGCATTTTAACTCTGTTTTAACTGTTGATAAATCTTAGCTTTAAGCTAATTTTGGAACGATTTTAGACAGAAAAAAACGAGTTTGTCAGTCTGAGGCAGTGGTGGGACCATGGAAAGGTTCACATTAAACTTTTATGTCAGCAGCACATGCTCAATGTCACACGTGACATCACCAGATCTATCAAAGATCTGGAGACTGATATTGTGGATCTCGAGTGTATAAGTGAGTCCACAGGAAATCAAGGATATATTAAAATCCTCAAGACTAAAAAGATGGCATTAGCCAACCTGCTGGACACTAAAGTACAGGGTGCGCTGGTCCGGTCCCGGGTTCAAAACATCACAGAGTTGGATGCTCCATCAAGTTTCTTCTTTGGGCTTGAGAAGAAACAAGGGCAGAGGAGACAAATCCACTCTCTGCTCTCTGAGACAGGGGAAGAGCTAACAGAGCCAGGCCTGATAAGGAAAAGAGCTGTCGAGTTTTATGCCTTGTTGTTTGAAAGCAAATTTAAAGAAAATGAAGAACTGATGGAGGAGGTCTGTGGTGGACTTCCTCAGGTGTCTAGAGAGGCTAACTCACAGCTCGACAGCCCACTGACTCCACAAGAGCTGTACGCTGCACTGCAGAGCATGCAGGGGAGAAAGGCTCCAGGCATCGACGGCCTCACTGTTGAGTTTTATAAAGCCTTCTGGGACATCTTGGCCCATGAAATCACTGATGTGTTTAATGAGAGCCTGGTGTCTGGGTCACTGCCACTCTCATGTCGGAGAGGCATCATCAACTTCTTGCCCAAGAAAGGTAATTTGCAAGAAATCAGAAACTGGCGTCCTGTCTCTCTCCTCTGCACTGACTTCAAAATACTGTCTAAAGTCCTGGCCAATAGGCTGAAAGGAACCATGGAGCAGATTCTCCACCGGGACCAGACGTACTGTGTGCCCGGCAGGTCTATGGTAGATAATATCTACCTCATTCGGGATGTTTTGGAGGTCTCCAGTTCATTAGGCATAAACACTGGATTGATCTCATTAGATCAAGAAAAGGCTTTTGACCGTGTTGAACACGACTTCCTTTGGAAGGTCATGGAGAGGTTTGGGTTCAGCGCTGGTCTCATATCCAAGATCAAGGTGTTGTACAGTGACATTGAGAGTGTGCTGAAGTTTAATGGTGGCTTGTGTGCTCCTTTTAGAGTGCACAGAGGCGTCCAGTCTGGGATTCTCTATGCACTCTCCCTAGAACCCCTCCTACAAAAGATAAGATCATCTGTTCGAGGCCTGTTTTTACCTCGTTTTAACAGTAGTGTTGTTTTACCTGCTTATGCTGACGATGTCGTTGTTTTTTCAAAGATCAACAGGATGTATGTGTTTTAAACTCTGTAATTGAGAAGTTTTCTGTTGTGTCGGCTGCGAGGGTGAACTGGAAGAAGAGTGAGGCCCTTGCTGTTGGTGAGTGGCGTGAGGGCCTCCCTGTTCTCCCTCAAAGCCTGACATGGAGAAGAGAAGGCTTAAAGCATCTTGGTGTTTATCTCGGGACAGACATGGGAAAAAAAAAACTGGGAAAACATCATGGAGAAAGTGGATAACAAACTGGCTAAGTGGAGGTGGCTCCACTCACAAATATCTTTTAGAGGGAGGGTCCTAATCTTAAATAACTGGGTGGCCTCCATGTTATGGCACCGGCTGTCTGGACCATCCAACAGGTCTCATTGCTCAGATTCAAGTAAAGATGGTCAATTTCTTCTGGGATAAATTGCACTGGATACCACAATCGGTGTTGTTTTTATCCAGAGATGAGGGAGGCCAGGGTCCACCTGGCTAGTAGGACAGCCACCTTCTGGCTCCAGTTTATTCAAAAGTATCTGACTGGACCTGAAGATCTGGTGTGGAGAGACGTGGCCAGCTGCATACTCAGGCGTGTCAATAACCTGGGGCTGGATGCTGCTCAGTTTTTAACTGATTTTAAATTCTTAAAGTTAGGTGGGTTGCCTCCTTTTTACCAGGGTGTTTTTAAATCCTAGACACTGTTTAAATGTAAAAGAAGTGAGAAGTGTGACTCTCTGTACTGGTTGTTGAAGGAGCCTCTAATCTGTGGTGCCAAACTGGACGTGTGCTGCAGCACCGTGCCTAGGCTGATGGGGGCGCTGTGCAGCTCAAAAATTGTCTGCCTGAATCAGCTGGTAGATGCAGCAGGACTGGCACACACAGATAACCACGCTCTGGGCTCTGTGCTTGGGGTGTGTTCTGTCCGTCTGATGCAGAGGAGCCTGGAGCTCTGGAAGAAGAGGCTGACAGAGAAGGAGAGAGCCCTTCTCCTCAAACACTGCAGGGGAGAAGCTGAGCCTGAGCCTACAGACCCGTATCCAGAGATCCACTTGGGCCCTGGGTTCACGGAGCTCAGCGGCCCCCTACTGAAACTCCGTGATGGGGAAAATGAAGCCTGCACAAGGCCGATGAAGAAACTATGCACAAAACACGCCTGTGGCGGCGCCCGTGGCAGATCTTGATGTTCCCGCGCAGCAGCCGGTGCCACTGGTTCACATTGTAACACTAATGATTTGGTTATGGTAGATCAGAGCAACCCTGAGGAGCAACATGCCTCTGTGGCTGCAAAGAACCTGGGTAGTTCTCAGTCTGCAGACACTGAGGAAGCTTCCATCAGTGCAGACAGAGACACTGTGAGCACACAGGAAGGACAGGGTTTCAGTCAGGTATCATGTGAAGGAGAAGACATGGAGTATGACACTGAATCAGACACTACATCCATCGGTGAAACCTCTAACAGGAACACAGATCTATATTCTTTAGACGAAATCAGTCATTTTCTGGATGTAACTTTTAACAAATCTGTCAGAGTAATTGATTATTTCAGCGACACTGAAAAGTTCATCAGATCCGTCAATGTACTAAAAAAACTGGTTGGGTTTGACTTATTGGATGAAAAGAAACGCTTCCGTCCGAATAAACATCTCACTACTCTGAGAAAAGCAATAAAAGGTAAAACTACCAAAAGGATAAGAAGGTAAAATGATCATGTACCACATGGTGATTTCCTCTTTTTACTGTTCTTTGTTTCTTTTTACCTGTTTCTCCTCTCCGACCTCAAATAGGATCTTTAAACATTAACGGTGGGAGAGACAGATATAAAAGAGCATTAATATCTGAAGTCTCAACTCAAAAAAGGATGGATGTGTTGTTTCTGCACAGACTATAAGATGCTTTCTAGAGCCTTATCAAATAGACTAAAGGACGTCTTGGAAATATTTGCGCATGCAGATCAGACCTATTGTGTACCTGACAGGACAATTATGGACAACATATTCCTCATTCGTGATGTTATAGATTGTGTAAATTTGATAATGTTAATTTTGATATTGTCTCTTTGGACCAGGAGAAAGCCTTTGATCGGGTGGATCACTCTTATTTGTTTTCTGCACTTAGGGCTTTTGGTATTGGTGATGGTTTTCTGGCTTGGGTGGGTTTATTTTACAGTGTTGCTGAATGTATGGTGAAGATGGGGGCAGGGCTGAGTCGGCCAGTCCCTGTACAGCGTGGGATAAGACAGGGTTGTCCAATCTCAGGACAACTGTATAGCTTAGCTATTGAACCGTTGCTGTGCAGGTTGAGGGATCGTCTCAGTGGTCTCTCACTGCCTGGGTCCTCAAATCTTGATGGTCCTCCTACTGTTTCTGCTCATGCAGATGATGTAAATATTTTTGTCACCAATCAGGAGGACGTTCAATGTTTGAAGGACACCCTGTCGCTGTATGAAAAGGCCTCAGCTGCACGGGTGAACTGGGCAAAGAGTGAGGCTTTGTTGATGGGGCAGTGGAGGGACCAGGCAGTGCCCAGTCTGCCTGGAGGACTTGAGTGGGGGAAGAAGGGTCTGAAAGTGCTAGGAGTGTTTTTTGGACACCGAGGGCTTTCAGGTAAAGAACTGGGAGGGAGTTCAGGAGAAAGTGTGCGCTCAGTTGTCTAAATGGAAATGGTTGCTACCCCTGTTGTCATATAAGGGAAGAGCTCTGGTGGCTAATAACCCGGTCGCCTCGACTCTGTGGCACAGACTCATTGCTCTGACACCACCAAGAGGCCTGATGGAGGACATTCAGAGACCCATCCTTGACTTTTTCTGGTCTGGCCAGCAGCCCTCTACCTGCCTGTGACTGAAGGAGGTCAGGGACTGATCAACATCCAGTCTAAGATTGCCTCCTTTAGAATACAGACTGCAAAAAGACTACTATATGACTGTGGCCCAAGCTGGTTTGATACAGCTCGCCTGAGGAGAGCTGGGCGCTTGGGCTACGATAAACAGCTCTTCCTCCTGCGGCCCGAGGACCTGGATCTAACTGGACTGACACCTTTTTACAGCTCTGTGCTGCAGGCTTGGCAGATCTTTAAGCCATGCGTGCCACAAACGAAACTCCAGGTATGTGGTTGTTTAAAGAATCGTTTTTCAACAATTTCATCAAGACTCAAACACTGCAGTCTGCCAGCCTGAGAGCCAATCTCAGAGAGGCTGGCTGCACCAAACTGGGCCATCTGATGAAGATGACAGCAACAATGGTGGAGAACAGCAACATCACCTCCATCAGGTTGATCAACAGAGTGCTGGAGGAAGTCTGCACTGCCACAACCCGTGAGAGCATTTGCAGAAGACCATGCTCTGTGCGACCAGTGGAGTGAGGAGTATGAGTACAGTCTCCCCTCTCTGACTCTCACCCCAGCTGTGGGGGAGTGGCAGGAGGGAGGAGGTGAGCTGCTGTCCCTCATAACTCCTCAGCTGGACAAGTTTTAGGATGCAGGGAAGAAGGCAGTCTACCAGATCTGCGTCAAGGTTCTGAACCTGCGCTCTTTGATAGGGAAGAAGGAGTGGAGGTGGACTGAGTTTTTTGGTCCAGACATTTCCCCAAAAGGCAGCTGGTGGTCCCTGTACAAGCTGCCTGTTGAAAAGCGAACAGCAGACCTCCAGTGGAGGGTTGTACACGGGGCAATAGCTACAAAAAGATACAGAGCGCACCTGGATCCAGAGCAGGAGGAGGACTGTGTGTTCTGTTCTCAGACTGAGACCTTGTTTCATTTATTTGTTCAGTGTCCTCGGTTGTCGGCGCTGTTCCAGCTTTTAAAAAGGGGTTTCAGGGTCTGGGGGAAGAGTTTTCTTTTGATTGGTTTATTTTTGGTCAGAAATAGCATGCAACAAATAAGATTGTAATAACACTGATGAACTTTTTATCTGGTTCTGCTAAGTTGGCAATCTGGCTGACCCGCAGGAACCGGACTCAGGGTGCCAGCAGTGTGGAACCGGTGCTGGTTCTGAAGGGACTACTGAAGGCACATCTGAGGGTGGAACATGCTTACCACAGATGGTGGACAATTTGCAGGCCTTCAGTCATATATGGGCTGTTGGGGGGTTTATGCTCTGTGGGGGTGGAGAGCTAAATATGACTTTCTGATGAAAGATTGGTCGACGGGTTCTTTTGTTTTTATATTTATTTATTTTTGTTGTTTGTTTTGTTTTGTTTAGATCTAAAGTGATGATTTTCTTTCTCTCTCTCTCTGTTTTTTCCTTTTCTCTCTCTCTCTCTCTCTCTCTTCCTTTCTTTCTCTCTCTCTCTCTCTCTCTCTCTCTTTCTTTCTCTCTCTCTCTCTCTCTTTCTTTCTCTCTCTCTCTCTCTCTCTCTGTACAACATTCTATTGCAGCTTTCGTTAGTATGATACAATATTCAAAGCAATGACCTTTGACCTGTATCTACAGCACTGACCTTTGACCTGTATCTACAGTACTGACCTTTGACCTCAAGCAGCACTTGTTTCTTCATCAGGATCTCTCTCTCCCTGTTGTAGACGGTGCAGGTGTAGATGTCAATGTCTCTGTATGTGGGGTATTTCAGGGTCAGACTGAGGTCTCCAGGTTCCAGTAGGTTTCTCTTCATCTCTGTTCGGTCTCTGTAAAACTGGTTCTGTTCTTCAGGCTGATCAGAGCTGTTCTGATACACATGGACCTTCCTGTATCTGTCCGTCCACTCCACTGTGACGTGCTTTAGCAAGTGAACTGTGGTTTTGCAGGGCAGCAGGACAGACTCCACCCCTGAATCCACCTCCACCTGGTAGACTGAGAGGACAACAAACCACAACATCAGCTGCACTGAAGAAAATCTATTTCTAAGTCAGTCAGATAATCTGATATTTAGATTTAAAATCTAGTGGGACTTGTTTTGAGTGTGAACTGATGATCTAGTGCTCACTATGGAAGGCTGTTTGACTGAATTTAAGTAAATGTCACTTGTCTTAATGAGCAGTTTGATCTTATTTGGAGTTTTTTTAGTTACAGGGACACATTAGCTACAGGAGCTCCAGTATGCTTTGACACTTTAAGATCTGAACTTTCAACACAAAAACATCTTATTTCAACTTTTAGTCTTTTGGCTTCTGTGATATTATATTTTACACTTTATCTTCAAACTAAATATTTCATTTTGTTCACGTTCCTTCATTATTTTTCAACCTGTCACATTACATTGATTATAACAGACTATAAATAACAAACCTACTGAAAAAAGCAAACTATAATAACTCTGGTCATCAGTTTTTTCAGCATTCAGTCAGAAACCAAAGTATTAGACTCATTTTAACCTGGAGATGGAACATGAACATCTGAACCACATTTTGTCCCAATCCAGTGAAAATGTACCAAATGTACCAAACTTGATGTCAGTGCATTCAGTAGTTGATAGAGATATCTCAGCAGATCTGTAAAAGTCTATATTTGTTCTGTTGAGGAGCAGCAGTTCATCCATCTTGTTGGCCAGAGAGCGGACATTCTCCAGGTGTATTGATGGAAGCGCAGTACAAATTGTGTTGTTAAGATTTCAATACTGTTGCATCCTGAACTTCTCTGGACTGTACTCACCAATTTTGAAGTTGTTCTGATCAAGTAGTTACTACTCTAAGTAGTTTGTTAAAATAGAAACCCTGAAATTGCCGGATGGCCTCACAGTTTGACATTAAATTCAAAATGGCTGAGTTCCTGTTGGGTTTAGGATATGGCTCAAAGAGGCTTTTTGTATGTCCCAACATAGTGTTTGTGAAACAGGACACCAGGGCTGGTTTTTTAAAAGTTTGTAGGAGGCGCTATCGAGCCATTTTGACACACCCACAGTTAACACCCAGATGAAATTTAAAATGCTAACATGTGGGACGTGTGTGCCAAGTTTCATGAGTTTTTGAGTCAGTTTGGCCCCCAAAATGCGATCAAATGTTAAAACAACAAGGTGATATTCACCATGTCGGCAACATGGTTCAATAACAAGTCATAAGATTCATAAGATGTCATTGTCAACAGTCTAAGGACCAAATTTCCGCTGGATGCGGTCAATCTGCTAGGAGAAATACATAAAAGTGTAATAAATTATATTTCTGGTTACCACTAGGTGGCGCTACCACTTTTACTGAATATTATCACACAGATGTGTTCAGGCTTATCAGACACGTGCATTATGGTGCAGATTGGACAACGAAGTTATGACAACTTCTTGTTTCATGGCGAAACGTCAAATCTTGGCGCCACGGCAGAGACACACCCTTCAGATTCAACTCACAAGCAGCACTACTTTTAATGTGATGGTGTTTACATCATACTGACCAAATTTGAAGTTGATCAGATCAATTCTACGGTGGCCGACAAGGGCAAACGCGCTGCAAACGGCAAAATGCTGCAAACACGGGAATAATGTAAATCCAAAAACACACAAACACATAAAACAAATGCAACAGAAAAATGCTCCAAATACCAAAAACACACAAAACAACAAAACAACTGCGAGAGAAACGCTGCAAATTCGCTCGACAAAACGGAAGTGCGCCAGGCCACTAGGGGGGACCCGACCTGAGGGATGGACCAGTCCTGTGGGACCAGACCCGAAAGACATGGAAGAAGAAGAAGAAGAAGAAGAAGAAGAAGAAGAAGAAAGTTGGCTAAGTTTTGGAGAGGGCAGTAAAAACGTTTTCCTTTCTTTTCCTTTCTTTTTTAAGCACTTGGCCGTAATCTTTTATAATATTATAATATTATAATTATATTATAATACTATTATAATATTATATTACATTATATTATATTCCACCGTACAGTTCCCTAGGAGGAATTTGTTCAAATACAATGTGTGCAAATCGCCAGAAATTGCTGGTAAATCCAAAATGTCCGACTTCTGTTGGGTTTGGGATATGGCTCCAAGAGCAATTTATGGTCAGGACGTCAGGACGTGATCTACATGTGTACCACTTTTCATACTCATAGGTGAAATGTGCCGTTGGGGCTGCTCAATAGGCAGTGCTTCCGTGCACGTGTTAGAGACCCATTAAATTCTTCACCACGACTGACATTTTTATTTTTTTTAATTTAACCTTTATTTAACCAGAAGTCTCATTGAGATTAAAAATCTATTTTACAAGAGAGTCCTGGCCAAGACAGGCAGCAGCACAGTTCCACAGTTACAGACAATCATTTAAAAACAACAGAGAACATATAAATAGAGTCACAGTCAGAACATCGTCAAACAGTGCATGTACAGACAGAAGAGCCAGCTTCAACCTCATTAAGAAAGTTTATAGAAACCAGCTCCTTAAGTTTTAGCACTTGTGGGCAGATTTTCAGGACTTCTGGCATATGATAAAGGCTCCAAAAAGGCCATTACATTTTATGAATAATAATAATTATTCCTACTAATAAAACAGGGCTTTCGCACGATTTGTGCTCCGGGCCGAATAAAAGCTCTGTTAACATATGAAGTGATTCTGTCCATAGAAACGCCTGAGAGCTTTTAATAAAAATTTATAAAAAATAAATGTATTCAGTAATTTAAACTTATATTTTTCTTGTGTGCGACATTCTACAGATACAGACATTGAAACTACAGTGAAAGGTGAATATGTTGCCTGTATAATGTTGATATGACTATGAACAGACTATTTTCACTGTCTCTTTATGCTGCAGCTGCTCAGGTAGACAGTGTGACCCTCGGTTTATAATCCCAGACCTCACTGTCCCATACTTCTATGAAAACCACAAAACCGTCAAGGAGCAGTCAAGGAGCAAAGACGATAACCATCGGCATTATGGGTAATGTAGTAGTGACATACCTGACATGAAATACTGCCGAAAATGCACCAAAAGACCCCCAACAATAAGACTGAGAACCAGGAGAACCAGGAGAACCAGGAGAGCTTTAGCCCAGGATGGAAATCGTTCTGTGGGAAACAGAAACATAAAGAACATGAACCTTTGACCTATATCTACAGTACTGACCTCTGACCTGTATCTACAGTATTGACCTGTGACCTATATCTACAGTTCTGACCTCTGACCTATATCTACAGTACTGACCTCTGACCTATATATATTAGTTTTTAGGGTTTGTTGCTGACCTTTGACCTGCAGCTGTATGTTTCTCACTCTCCGTTGTCCTCCTAATGCTCTGGCGGTGCAGGTGTAGGTACCACTGTCAGAGATGTGGAGTTTTGTCAGCTTGAGGCTGAGGTCTCCAGTTTCCAGAGCGTCAGCCATCATGGATGTTCGGCCGCTGTAAAGCTGGTTTTGGTCTTTGAGTTCATCCCCTTCCTGCTGACGCTGGTGGACGGTTGGGGGATTGAGATCGTAGCGGCTCCACACCACTGTGGGGTTGTCCAGTTGAAAAGTTTGGAACTCACAGGGCAGCAAGACAAACTCATCCCAGTCATACAACTCCACAGCTGAGGCATGCTGGTAAACTGTGAGGTCAAACAGAAAGAGAGGTTTAATCACAGCAGCCTTATTTCAGGTCTTATTGCTTCTGGATCTGGTCGTGTTTGTGATTGGACTTTGAAACCACATGAGCACATTTTAATACCAATAAGACAAATAACAGAACAAACTGATAGACTGACTTTATTGATTCAACATGGTGTTTAAATGAGTGTGTTACTGTCTGAACTCCTCTTTCCTCACATCTTTTCCTTCTATCTCTCCATCACGTCTTCAGTGGGAGCCACAGATACTCAGGGAGAAGACAGGACTGATGGACACGTGAAGACATTCATACAGATGAGACACACCCTGAGTGATTGGGACCATCTGTGTCCATCTTGTACTAAATGATGTTCAGTTGTTGAAGCACTGTAACAAAGTTAATGTCGTCTAAAGTGTGTGTAGCCTGTAAACTAGAAAACTGACCTCTGACCCGTGTCTAAAGCTGACCTTTCTACAGACCTATATCTAGAGCTGTGGTTCCAAGCCCTTTCCTTTGAGGGACCCCTTTTCTATCATTTAGTAAACTGACAATCCCTGACTAAGTGACATATTTTATAAAAAAATTTACAATTTAGCCAAACAGTGAATTCAGTCACTGCAAGAAGCTTGTGTAAAACAGGTGATTTAAATGAATTTTGAGCAGATTATTTCCTGTTTAGGGAACTTTTTATATGATTCTCTGTCTGTTTTATATATTTATTCATTATTTGTAACAATCATACAACTTAATAGGCTTCTTTTCTGACAAATTCAGTGTTTTCTTGTCCCTGATGCTTGGCCATTGTTCTATCAGACAATTAACTTAAAATTATATATTTAATTTTCTTTATATAAGTGAACCAAATGCTGAGATCTAGGCCTACTGTGTATATTTTCATTTAGTTTTCTTACATGCCATAAAGTCAAGAAAGCTTCGCCCCCATTAAACTTTTAGGACCCTCAGTTTGGGAATCACAGATCTAGAGTAGGTTTTAAGGTTTGTTGCTGACCTTTGACCTTCAGCTGTACTTCTCTCACTCTCCGTTGTCCTCCTAATGCTCTGGCGGTGCAGGTGTAGGTGCCGCTGTCAGAGAGGCGGAGTTTTGTCAGATTGAGGCTGAGGTCTCCAGTTTCCAGAGCGTCAGCCATCATGGATGTTCGGCCGCTGTAAAGCTGGTTTTGGTATATAAGTTCATCACCTTCCTGCTGACGCTGGTGGACGGTTGGAGGATTGAGATCGTAGCGGCTCCACACCACTGTGGGGTTGTCCAGTTCAAAAGTGTCATACTCACAGGGCAGCAGGACAAACTCCTCCCCCTCATACAGCTCCACAGCTGAGGCATGCTGGGAAA